TGGAGGCCATCGCTAGTAGGTTGGAGGCCATCGCTAGTAGGTTGGAGTCCATCGCTTGTAGGTTGGAGGCCATTGCTGTTCGAAACAAAGGAAAACGAAAAGAATAGAGTTTACTTGTTGTTCTCTCTGAGGTGATGCACGAGTTGAGGCAGCGTGGGGAGATTCAGACGCAGGCAAATTGCGATATGTTTTTCAGTATGTGTTTGCAAATTTGCCGAATCCATAGGTGCTTTTCATCGTGTGGAACTTTGTCAAAGTGCAGAAGGAAGGGTTGCCAAAGGGCTGCCGTTGCGGTTCATTCCAACATTGCTCCAGAAGCTTCATCAAGCCTCAGGATGAACCTGCTGACTATCGTGGCATGCCAATACCTTTCACTCCTACGAAGGTTGACCGGGCAGCATTAAAGGGTGACATAGTGGTGACGGAGTAACACTGTGTGGAAACAAATGTTATTGCTGCAAAGGGTTTGACAGGTATTTGTTGACTGGTTAGCACATATGCATCTATCTACTTGGGCTATGTCACGTCCCACGCATTTGGCTGTTGAATGCAGGACTACGACAGAGGAAGAAACTAGAGTCAGCGTTGCTTTTGTAGGGTCCTGGATGTTGTACCCTGCTGTTTACGGCTTGGGTAGTTTTATCTTGGGGTGGGTGATAGCTGCATTTGGTCAAGAATGAATGAAGTTTTAAGCTGAAACTATTGTTTGATGTTGTTTCCAGTGTGCAAAACGTGTTTTCCTTAATATCTAAATGGTTTTCCACTTGCACAGGCAACCTTCACTAGCCATCAGAAATGACAAGCGAGCCACAAGACCCGAAAGAGCAGCCTGGTTTGCACTTGTTTCATGAGCGGCGAGAACATTCATCTGCTCACACTTCAAGCTCCCGCATAGGGAGAGCAAGCAACAACTGCATGGGGTTCGTGAGGCATGAGAGACACGTCAAGTAGTAGTGGAAGCGTGTCTTTCAGAGTAACAGGCAACAAGAAATGGAAGCGACAATGTCATTGTTGCGGCGTGCTCTTGCACTACCCAACCAAGCATGAAAGCGGCTTTTGGAAAACAAACAAGGCAAGACTAGCTATGCATGACCAAGATTGACTGCTCGGGAGCTTTTGTCCGATTCTTCACTGCTCAAAATGCTTGTGCTGTCCATCCTTCTGTATCAAAACGATTCACTAGACTTTCTTTGTTTCTAACAGCGATGGACTCCAACCTACTAGCGATGGCCTGTGTAGAGGCTTTAAGAACTGCATTTGTTCTTGGCATGACTTTTCATCAGACTAGGTTTGCATGGACATCCTGGAATCCTGCAATGCGCGGCTGTACAGAAGCGCGCAGGAGAACGTTTCGACGCTTTGCTTAGTTGAGACGGCGTGCTGTTTTGAAGGAGTTGACAGGGCTTTTCGTGCACACTCCAGAGTCCCAGGCGAGAGCTGTGAGCAGTTTGCTAATGTTTGCTCTACTTCAATTTGTTTTGCTTGGTAGCTAAAAGAGTCGGTGGAACCTTTCTATTTGTCTCAAAAGGATGCTTCCAAGTCTCCACATGAAGTATTTCTTCAAAGATCTTCAAAGATGCATCACTCTCTTCATAGGCTAAGCATTTGTTCTTTGTAGGTTGACTTCATCAAGTGTTCCACAGCAGTTCTTCGAGTCTTGGCCGACAATGTCAGCAGCACAGCCTTTGGCCACGGGAGCCACAGAGCCGAGCCGACGTGGCTCCCTGTGTTCAGGTCTTGAAGCCATCAGAAGAACTTGGCCTTCCTGTCGCAGGGCGCCAAAAGTGCCTGCAAGACGTTGGTGAGTGCATTTTGGGACTGAATTTGTCCAGCCTCTTTGGAAGTGTTGCGGTCACAAGGCAGAGATGGAAAGCAGAATAACAGAAAGTGGCAAAAAAAACATAAAGCTTCGAGCTTAGATGAGCTTAGAACAGAGCAAATGGAGCTGACATTGCATTTCTTTACAAATCAGGTTTCAGAGCGGCGACATTGCGTACGACACGAAGGCAGACAAGCGACTAGCGCAGAGCTTCAGTATTGAAACCTTGAACCACTAGAATCAAGTCCAGAACCCCATGAGAGTAAGCATGTGATCAACGAAAGGCACTTGCTGGACTTCCAGAATATATCTCCATACCCCAGGTCAAAATCAAGGCCAACCAGATTTGTTTGTAAGAGCTCATCGACCAAGGGAACAGTGTTCAAGGGAACAGTGTTCGAGTGATCGGACATATTGAACTGGAAGAAAGAAAAAGAAAGGTCTAAAGTATAGGTCCAAAGATAAAGAGAAGACCAGAAAGACATTTAAAAACAATATGAAACATGAACGGAAAAAATGTATTGTATGTTGGGAAGACCATGCCTAGGGTGAGACAATTTCGAACGTCATGGACGGCTTGAAGCAGCTGGAAGAGAAGTTTGAGGCAGGCCGCTTTGTTGTGTCAAATTTTTAGAGTAATGCTATTCCATGCTGTTCCACTCAAATAGGTTTGTCTTCTCGTAAGTCCTTAGCTGTGGCACGAGGCAATGTCCTTGAGTTGATGCCCGTCCTTACCTTAGATGTCGTTCCAATCACTCAACGATTTAATGAACAGTCTGGTCCTTGGAAAGTATCTCACTGCAAATCTCCAGATCTTAAGACAGTTGCATTTATATGCATTTGTGACTGGGGCGTTACCATTTGATGGCATTCCAAGAGTTTGAACTTCAGGAGAGGCCTCTCTCAATTCAGGATTCTGAAGCAATTTCGATGCTGTACAGCGGTCTTTTGCCCTGAAGTGTCAGAGCCACCTTGATTAAAATAGCGCTCTGAAAGTGAATAAGAGGACCATCGACTTTGGATTGATTGACATGAGAAGCTTGAATTCTGCATGCCTGCGGCATTGGAATATGTGTTTAGCAACGGAATCTAGCGCTTGCGGTGTCTTATTTTGATTGGGTCAACATTATGTGCCCGGCTCGAATCTTTGGATCCAAAGTTTCATTTCGATCACCGAGCCGAAAAAGTGGCTTATCATTTTGATTTACCTGGTCTCTTAGCTTCAACCTCAGTCGTTGGAGAGACGTCTGCATTATGTATGTTGAAATGGAGGTGTTGCAAGAACAAAAAGGACACTCGTTGCGGCTACCCATTTCACCCAAGGTGTTGGATCAACGCCAACATAATGTCGCAGGTGCACAGCTACCTGATCACCATGCCGTTCGTAAAGCCAGGAAACGTAACACAAAAAGTGCAATCTTTGATATCGAAGATTTGTCATGGAGCCATCGCTACTTATTCCAAGGGTGGAGTTGCTGGAATAGTTTTTTGGAAGGACACTATATCTTTTTGAGAGGGGTGTCACAAAACCATGTAGTGGGGAGGCTGGAATAAACCCTTTGATGATGTCAACCCCCTTGATGTCAAACCTTCCTTGAGAATAAATGTGCAACTTGTTTAAAGATGAGGAGGTTGAAGTTTTGAAAATGTTTCGATGGGTATGTGAGAGGTCAACAACCCTGGAAGAGTTTCAGGCCTTGCTATGCCTTGCCCTAGAAATGCAGCGAACCTGAGGTCGAATGTTGCAAACATTCCCTGCGGGCACTGTCACCAAAAACCCTCTCAGCAGCTCACTGTCGCAGAAAACCCCTGTTACTGATGCAACAAACCCGAGTCACAGCATCCAGACCTCAAAGAAGCCAGGCTGGAGGGCAAAAGCCTGCTGCAAACCGAATGACTCTCCAGGCGGCAACGAGAGAATTCTGTATGAGCATTGTATAATTGTAATAATAATAGTATTAGTATGTAGTTTGGGTTGTTCTTGATGTGTGTTCATTGACGTTTGGACGACGACATGTCTGCTCATTTCATACAAGAGCACCAGACAATGTTGACTCACCAGATTTCGTCATTAAGTAAAAAGGACTGGCATGCAGAAAAGGTGAAACTGTGAAAAGTCAATTGTGACAATCACTGAGACCTTCAAAGCCCGGTTGGGTGGAGCCAGCAAGGGTATGGATCTCAGTCGAGTCAGAAATGTTCAAGATGCATAAAGACGCCATGTGTGTAGAGATGGACGCAGAAGGCTTTAAGTTGTTGAAGAAGAAGCGTGATGCGCTCAAAGCCAAGTTCCAGGCAACTGTATCACCTTATGAAATTGGGACGATCAATTGCCTGCCTGACTGACTCACTGACCACAATCTTCCAATTGGATGTTTGTAGACAATGTTGTGCAGGTAATTTTTCGGCCTGCTTTTAAGATTTTGTCGCCAACCTGCTCCCGAAGACTTCACTTGCCAGTCCTCCACTCATTGGAGTCATTCACACAGAGACTGCTTGGTGGTTTCGGTTGGCAGTTTGGACTTCATTTCCTACTGACGGGTTTCTTGACCACTAGCACAATCTACCACTTGCCCGTAGAGGTGTGTGGGATATGGAGTTGGTTCTTTCAATATTGATCGAAACTAAAGAGGGAAGGCATGATCTCCAGCATGTTTGATCACTTGTTGCAGGCCTTGTTGAAAGAAATCGTTGATACAAAGCTGAAGGCCGCAGCTGCTCCAGTCAGCCCTGATTCTTCAACCTCGTGTCTTTCTTTATGATTAGCACAGCTATGCATAGCTGTCATGTGGGTTTGGTGCGAGCATTTCTCGATATGATTCCTGTCGTGTCAACGCAACATCACTCCAAAGCTTCTGACACTGAGTGCTTCTTTGAGCAAGTGCAGTGTTGTCGCATTAGCTGTAGTCAAATCGCAGTTCATGTCAGCGTTTGAAATGCAAAATTCCAGGTCGGTGAGGGTCTCAAGGACGGTGCGTTTTCATTAGCCAAAGCACATTATGCTATGACCTGAGGTGTTTGCGCGAAACTCCTGATTACTGGTTACCTGTTTTGTGTTGGGTGCAGAATTTGTACCGAAGACTCTGGTGCATGGCGTCGCTAGAAACGCTTCAGACCCGTTTGAGATCTTGGATTGCAAGTCAGAAGGGTCACCCCAGGCTAGCTCGGGCGACGATATTGCATCTACCGTTCGGAATCTCAGAGCTTGTCCAACTACAGACCCTCCCTGACAGCGAGCCAAAGACATGTCAGGTCATCGAGCGAGCCAAGAGGCAGCAAAATGCAGTGGGAAGAGATTGGTGAAGAGTGAAGATGTTCCTTTCGGCAAGCTGACGCAAGGATAATTTCATACAAATTCACACAAAGAAAAATGTGTTTATCTTTTTATTCCTTACATCTCGCTCTTTTGGGCCGCCCGCGCTCTCCCTCTCCGTGTGTCTTTCAATATGTGTTGGAACTCTGCAGGAATCCCAGCTGAACTTCAGACTTGTGTGAGGCCCTCGATCACAACAAAGTTGTATCCTGACAACGTGGCCGGCGTGTCCATTCCTTTGTTCAAGATGAGTTATGATGCATCCAAGGTGCAATTGAAATTCACAAAGTATGGTGTTTGAGTCCTTGATTATGTTGATCGTATTTCGCTGAACCTGTTGCTTGTTCGGGCGATAGAAGATTCAAGTTCGCACAGGACTCCAGTGCACAGACCCTTGGCGTAGCGTGCGGTGGCGCTGTGATCAACGCTGCCAGAGAAACATACCGAAAGGCGACGCCTCCATTTTGTCACATTCTTGTTTGTGCTGACAGAAAAAGAAGAGCCAGCAGTTACACCCTGAAAAGGATATCGTTCCGCTCTCACGACTGCATTTTTGTCACAGTGGATTGCTGACGCCCTTCCGCATGCACTTTGCCAGAGGCAGTAGTGAGCTTGGTGAAGCTTGCTTCCTTGCAGACCGCATTTCATACCCTCGATGAGGAGACCTGGTGCCTTCCCTGCAGTCTAAACTTGTTCGCGTCGATGCACAAAAGGCTGCACTGCTTGGTCAATAGGGATTTTTCCACAGGGATGCTCGTATCCTGCAGAGGTTACTAGTAGGATCTAGTAGGGAACCTGGCTGGTTAGGATCAGTTGCAATAGCATGGGCAAGACATTCTTCGTGGATTACAAACATTCCAACTTTCAGGGCAACACTTCTGTTGATTTGAGAGGCCTGTTTAGTCAGGCAGCAATTGAATCTTGTCGCCTTGCTGAAGGTTGCAAGTCCGCTTTAAATTCCTTAAAGATGGCCTCTTACGTTTTGATTTGTTGTATCCATAATTTCAGGAGATCAAGATGACCAGTCGAAGAGTGAATGCGCTCGAATATGTGCTCATTCCTCGAATTGAAGACATCATCCACTACATCACACAGGACATTCTTTGGAACTTTTGATGCTCTGAGAGCTTGAGAGCTCAGAGCTGTGAACGGACCTCTAGGAGATGGACGAGCAAGCAAGAGAGGAGTTCTTCCGAGTCAAAAAGGCTTGGAAGCTCGTTTCTTTGTTTCAAAGCCCTAGGGGGGGTAGGCCAGTACTGGTAAGCTATATATAGTAGCAATGAATTTAAACACTCCTAGGTAGGACGAGGATGCGCTTCTTCAAGCTCCCCCCTCCCTCAAAACTGAGGCAGCTTCCTTGAAGAAGCGCTCGCGCTACTATTCATTTAGGGAAAAATTGTCTTCCATTTGTTTGATGAAAAGGTGGTTGAAAAGAAGAAAGTGAAGCTGCAGAAAGAGAAGGTGCCAGACTTCTCTTCAGTTCATAGTTGGCTCTACTCTGGCAAGCTAAATAACTAGTTTTGTTCAATGGCAGATATATCTCCCAGCACACATCAGGACGAAATGGCTGCAGTGAGGGGCTCAGAAAGATATTGTACAAGATCTTAGATGATGCTAGAAAGTCTTGGGTCTGAAGTTGATAAAGGTCACCTTCAACGAAGTTTAACGATCACAGTCTAGGCAAACGTGCATTCAGTTCATATTCATTCATAATTATTCATGTTTCAATATTGCTTTAGCAAGGAGTAATGGAATGCAACTAAGGCCGGCAAGCGAACCGAGGCGCCCTTCGCAGAACTGAAAGAATATTCAACTATCTTTGATGTGTACCCAAACACGTGACAGCTCGCACTGCAGGCTGCAATCGATGCTCCCAGCATGTTGGCTACGAAAAAGGCCTGCACTTCTTGGAAAATTGATGCATTGCACTGTTAGAGTAAAGGTGTCTTTATCTTGAAGGCTGCTAGGCTTAGACCCTTCGCATAGTCGTATTTGGACCTTTGTTTTCGGTTCTTTCCTCCATCCTTCTTCCTTCCTTTGCCCGAGTGACTCTACTTCCAGGATGAGGATCTCATCTTCTGAGGGCATCGTGCAGCAAAAAGATGCGCCTTACATAGCAAAGGTTCAATCTCATGTGGATTGCAGCAAGAGCCAACTAGGGGTAGCAGTGATTGATTGCAAGTTCTTGTCAAATGGATCATGTTGGTCGATACCAGCCTGGCCTCGCCACCAAGATTGCATCTGACTCTGAACGTTGGGGCAATTCTTCAGTGCAAAGACTGAGTCAAAAGTCAGAAGCACTACAAAATGGCGAAAGACATGAAGAGGCGCATTTGTTTGAATACCAGAACGTCCCAATGCGTTACAGTTGATCTGAAACTCAAAAGTTTGTGTTACAGCTATGGCCTGTGAATTGGTATTCCCGTTCAGAAGGGAAGCGGTGGTGCGTGACTCTGACTCAGATTCAAAGTGCTGAGTGCCGTTAGACACGAACACCATGCGGTTGAATTTGCGCAAGACATCATGTTTCTCGCATAGACAGTTTCACTTGATATATTACGAAAGCCAGCCGATAGGCTAGGCTTGAGCTCTTAGAGCGAACGAAGTGAGTTAAGGGGGGTGTGGGGGGGGGAGGGCGCGAAAAGGCACCTTTTGAGAGGGTGAACCCGGAGCTTGGTGGGGGAGAGCGCTCCAAAGCGAGGGTCAGAAACGCGGTGAAAATGGGGTCTGGAGATGCGAGTGATGCAATGGACGCTGAGTAGTGCATCATTAGCATCATGAAGGGGTCTGGAGACAATCTTTCTAGTCCTGAGCAGGGCATAGGGACTGTGTAGCTCTGATCATACCAAGAAGGACAAAGCAACAAAGAGTGAACGCTCTGGGAGCGAACGATGTGAGTATGTCCAGCTGGGCGAGGTAGAGGCTTGGGGATAAGAGCGCCGCAAGAGGAGAAGCAAGAAAGCTGCAAGCATTCAACACTTCATGCTGTGCCCCGATCTTGATCTCAGTCGCAGTCATACCAGCTCCACGAAATTTTCCTCCCAGCCCTGCTCTCTATAGGGCTTCGCATTGATACACGCACGATACCCGAAACACATTTCAACACAACCACAAAAACCATTTCGGGCATCATTCTCCTGGTGTTCATTGACGTTTATTTTTGCACGGATTCTCAAATAGAACACCAACAAGGGACGCTCCAGAAGGCGCCGCGCCAAGCAAATCAAGAATACTAAAGACATTCAACGCTTCGTGCTGCGCTCCCATCTTCATCTACGTCGCAGTGATACCAGCTCCACGAAAACTACAACCATTCAAGAATGAGTGCTCTCCTCTTTTTTTCTCCCAGCCCTGCTCTTTATAGGGCGTCGCATTGATGCACGATGCCCGAAACACATTTGAAAACAACAAAAAACCACCTTTCGGGCATCCTTCTCCTGGTCTTCACTGACGTTTATTTTCACACGGATTCTCAAATAGACCACCAAACAGGGACGCTCCAGAGAGCACCGCGCCAAGAAAATCGAGAAAGCCTAAAACATTCAACACTTCATGCTGTGCTCCGATCTTGATCTATTCCACGTTGATACAAGCTCCACGAAAGCTACAGGCATTCAACAATAAGTGCTCCGCTATTTTTTCCTCCCAGTCTTGCACTACCATATTGGTCTCTTGCTGGCTTTCGTCCCCTCCTATATACGCTCCCTTCCCCCCAAATGTCTACCCTTTTGGTGGTAGGATGGCTTCTACCCTGCGTCGTCCTGCAATTAAATCCATTAGTATAAGCAGAACAGCTGACCAATGCACACAGATAAGGACATATGGTTTCCAAGGGTTGGAAATTAGAGAACAAGGATACTAATACATATTCCAATTCATGTTGTTAGTAATTTGAATCTAATGCCATTGCAAATATAGTAGTTAATTGATACAATTGATCATGTGAATTTCAAAACGTTCAACTCAATTTGTTACAATAGACTTGCAAGTCAAAGTGTCAATCTCATGGTGCACAAGTGTGAGGACCCCACAAAAAGAAACATAACAATTTACAGTTGTGTATAGTATCTAATGCAGTTGCAAATATAGTAGTTAATTGATACAATTGATCATGTGAATTTCAATACGTTCAACTCAATTTGTTACACTAGACTTGCAATTCAAAGTATGAATCTCATGGTGCACAAGTGTGAAGACCCCACAAAAAGAAACATAACAATTTACAGAAAAAATTGTGTACATGACAATGAACAATATTATATATGAGCACTCCAATTCATACTGTCAGTTGCACCCAGTGCAAATGCACGTATGATAATTGAGTTGTTAGTTTTTTGTTACACTGTGACATTACATTTAAACAACTCAGATTTGGAATTTAAAATTACACATTTGTGACAGTGACAAACATTGGGTTTGCACAACTAGAACATTGACCTGCATGATTTACAATTGTGAATATCACAGGGTAACACCAGAAACAAACAGGACACAATGCGCAGAAAACACAAATACCAATCAAAACTAAAAGAGGTAGACATTTGGGGGGTACCATATATATGTTACTGCTACTCAAGTTTTGTTGCGCATAGTTTGTTCATGCTCACTCAGTTTCCACACTCACACCACACTTGCAAGCTTGGCTAGACTCAGCAAGGTCCTCGGTCTAAGCCCCACAAGCCGTGGTTTGGCAAGTCTTATTTGCGAGTGCAGGCACAATGCAGCTATATCCGGAAATCATACAACAGTGAAATTGTAGAGTGTTGCTCAAGCCATTGGTCATTGGCCATTGAAAGCCTTTCTACAGGAAGAGACGCTCTACATGGTCCCTCCAGGCGGTCACAAGCTTGAATCACTGTTCAGATTGGTGAGGTGGTCAGTGGTCAGTTGGAATGATTGGACAGCAATGGTTCTTTGTTCACCTGTGCCAGTAAAACCAACTCTGAGGCGGGCATCTCACTGGAGATATGACTGTGATGAGGACATCTCGCACTTGCAAAGTGTTGTGTGCGTCATCGAAGGGTTTTTCATTCCGACACTGGCACAGGAGTGGCCAGGCACCATCCCTCCATCACCGAGACCTAGGCATATAAATGACCTCATCAAAGCGTCTAGTGAGTCTAGTAGTCATGGAACTAGCACACAGGCTTCGTATTGGGTGCGCTTTGTTCTGGGGTTTAATACGAACCTTTAGCCAGCTAGATGCCGGCTCTACCTGGCTATTTTTGACCAAATCTTCAAAAGACAAAAAAATGTTTAACTTGTTCAAGAACGCCTTTAAAATTTGCGTGATCCAAAACCTTCATCAAATGCTGTTATTTGCAACTTGTTTGCAGTCGATGTTCAACAACCTTCAAAAACTTAGGTTTCTTGCCCGATAATGAGCCCCCCCGAGCTAAAGCTCTATGCCATCCGGGTACACACGCCCCAGCACCTTCGGCGCAGGCGGATTTAGCCCTTGGTTGGGAGACGTCAGAATGCCACCAGCACCTGAGGCGGAGTATTCTGTTTGACTCTGTTTGATACTGTTTGGATGCTTTGACCGAAAGGTAAAGAATAATAAATTGACTGAGATTCAACAAACAGTGGTTCAGGCTGCTGAGGGACTTGGGAAGATATATTCACCAGTATCACCAGCAGTGCGTAGTGGGTGTGCCAACTGTTCAGGCCTGACTACGAGTGGTGGCATGACATCATGCTGGAGGCTTCTTAACTAGAGCGGCTGACTCAGCTCACCAGCATCTCAAAATGTTTCGAGATGGCAAGAGTCATGTCTTCAAATCGTTCGCTATTGCTTTTCTTTGCTCCGTACGTTTGAGCTCTTGCTCAAAAGCTTGGACTTCGTCAGTCACGTGCTGCATAGGCTACTTGGCAAAGGAGACGGAGAGGGCAAGAGTGCGTTCACGGATGTGTCCTTAGACTTGAGCATCGAATTTTCCAAAGTAAACCTTCAACCTTAAACTCAGTGTTCGTTATTTTTTTGGCAAACTTGTCATATGCCTGTCATCAGAAATACAGTTGAGAGCCGCGGCAGTTGAGATACTGCCACACTTGACTCACAACCACCTTCGCTTTTCGAACAGCGAGGATTTGAGCCGTACAGTCATAGGTCAGGCCATGTGGGAAAGTGTTTGTAGACGTGATTTCTTAGAGAAATCAGAACCGAATCGATGTTGTTCGCACTTAGGTTGAACATTCTAAAAATAACAAGGGACTTTCCTTTGAATCAAAGAAACTATACAAAGTCTGATGATGTCACATTTGTTTGGATCAAACTTGGGCGAAGCAGACTGAGCGTGATAAGCCGTGACAAACGCCTTGGAGGGTACTGCTGAGTGCATCAAAAACCGACTTTGACAAAAGCAGCCTCGCCCCCCATGGTTTTCACCAAGCAGACCGCCGAGTTGCATTTGGGATCTCCAATTCAAGTGTGCGGAGCGCTCGTAATTAATCAAAAATCAGAATAGAGGGAAGTAGGCAGAACCATGACTCATGGCTTCCAAAGCTGTCACATGGCTTCGCACTAATGGTGAGTTGGTTCTTTGTGTTGAAACTTCTGTACTACGCAGAGCGCATGCTCCTTGACAAGCCCACGGAAGGTGCTTCTTTACACTTCCTTCACTTCCGTCAGATTCCAAGGGGGTGTGGTGTCTCAAGCTAATCCACCTTCTAGCGAGGTGAGTTCCACCTATCGACATCATGGAGTCATCATCTGGACTGGAGCAGCAAAGCGCCACATCAAAGTTGTTCTGTCCAGGAAAATATCGGAAAATGGTTCCTGGAATTGTTGCCATCAGTTGCCCAGGAGCAACACCAAACAAGGGGAACCCTCTGAATGCATGATCTAAGGTGATACAAGATCATCCTGGCACCCTTTCTGAGAACCACATGCGCAGACACCGCCCACCCACTCCGAGGGCCTCTGGCAGGGCCTCCGGCAAGGTGTCCGGCAGGCATGGTGGCACCTTACGAAGATCACTGGAAGAGGTGCAGCCAGAAAAGAGAAGGGACGTCTTCATCTCAGGATGTCGTCCTCACGAAAGGTAGCCCTTCAGGGGATACCTTGAGTTTGTCTTGCGAAGCAAGTGTGGGCTCCTCCGGATCTAATAATTGATAGTTCAATTCAACGATTTTTCAATACAGACCCCCCCCCGGGAATTTATTTTTTAAATGCCCCCCCCCCTCCCCTGACCGCTTCATCCCGAAGTGGATCACCTCGATTGTTATTTGGTGTTGAGCACTCTAAGCTTGGGGCAATGTTCGAGTCCATGACGAGACATGTCATATTCTTTTTAGTGCTTCTTGTCGTTGAGGATATAACCTATAAATCACGAAAGGTAGCCCTTTAGGGGATACCTTGAGTTTGTCTTGCGAAGCAAGTGTTGGGACGTCCGGGTATAATAATTGATCATTCAATTCAACCCCCCCCCCCCCTCTAAATTCAATTCTCTCCTGGAGAACGTCTTCGTGAGCCTCTCATGATTTCAGGATAGTTGAAACCCTCTTGAACATTCAGAAAGAGTGCATATGAAATTCTAATCACGAAAGGTGTTCGCCGAGGGGATACATACCTAGAGTTTGTTTTGTGAAGCACGTCAATTCTCTCCTGGGGAGCGTCTTCGTGAGCCTCTTATGGTTTCAGGATAGTTCAAATCCTATGATGCTCCGATTCAATGCTCACCGATGATCTGAGCCATGGGGCAAGTTTGTTTTCCTAAGAATGTTTTTGAACATTTCGAGAGCATATGTTTGAACATTTAGAGTGCATATGAACATATATTTACGAAAGGCCGCCTCCGAGGGGATAAATCACCATGTCGAACATTGCATTGTTGTTCCTGCCTCTCGCGTTCTCTTCTCTTCCCGCTGTCCTACCTTTCGTGTCTCCCTCCTCTCAAGTATATATATATATATTATCTATATCTATCTATCTATCTATCTATCTATCAAACGTTGGTCTTTTCCCCCACTCTCAAGTTGACGTTTGACTCGACTCCACCAACACTACACTGCATATTTTACATGCTGCTATTTTCCTCCCGCTGTCCTACCTTTCGCGTATCCCTCTTCTCAAGTGGTGTTGTAACTTGTTTTTTGGGAGGAATCTAAGCCTTGCCAGGATTTCGGTAGCTTCAATAAATCTCATTCCGCGGGTGCTCTGCAAGTGAGCCGAGCCATGCTTCGCTTGCTGGTGAATCTGCTCGCCGTGGCCTTTCCATCAGAGTCTTGCCCAAGCGGGGCAGACGTCACAAGCTTGTTGAATCATCAGTCACCTCGTGTGGCCCTCAGTCGCCGTACGCGCCCCTTGTGGATGAGCGAAGGCGTGCCAAGGGAAGCCTCCTGAAGGCTTTACCCACGAGTGTTGGGCATCGTCTCTTGATTGTTTGACCGGAACAGTGATGGTATCATTTCTGCGGACGATGTGCAGGTACTCAGGTACTTGAGAATGAAACCACCCAGAAGAACTTGACACGTGCAGATGTTCGGGCTGGCATAGCGCTCGCATGCTAGTGGTACCCGGAAGAAGCCATGCAACTCATCGTTCATGAGCCTTTGATCACCGCGCTGGTCTTCGATGATATGGGGCATCGATCAATTGTCACCGCCTCCTCCACCACCATTTTGCTCTGCCATCTCAGCCTCAAGTGACTCGAGCCCTTCAAGTGCTTCCAGCGAGCCCAGTGAATGGCACCTCGCTGATGTTGATCGAAGCGGAGGACCCTGAGAAGTGTGTTCAGGGCGGTGTCCAGATGTCCATAGGCTGTCTTGGACTGGCCTTTGGATTTCTCGGCTTGGAACTACCCAGTGGCACAATTGTGGCTGACATGATCCAGACCAACTAAAGAGCAACGAACACCATCCTGGATATAGTGAAGAACCTTAATGGCTTGGATGATATGACCAAACATGCCTTAAGCGTCAAGGATATCTTGGCTGTTATGTACAATGAGGGTTTGTTTGCAGCTGTGAAGGAGTCCTTGGATGACATGAACTGGTGGGAGTGGTCGAAGGCGGTTGCTCAGATCTCTGCGACGGTGGCGCTTTGGGTTGTCCCTGGCGCAGGTCAGGCGGCGTTCCTTGTCCAGATATCCCTAGCCCTTATGGATGCCTGGGACATTGTCGCAGGGTTGAGAGAGATGAAAAACTATTGGGGCCAGAACCACGGTGGCGGTGGCAAGAAATGGAGACGCAGGAAGTCCGGCCAAAAAGGCTCAAAAAATCCTGTATCTTACTGAGCAAGAAGCTGCTCTTGTTTGATGGGATCACGGGAAGGGCCCTGGATGTTTCACCTTCATAAGAAAGGTATCAGGTCATTTTCCTCATTGCAGCTCTAACGTAGCACAGGGTAGAAAAGACCCGCGTCCTTTTTGCGGCGTTGAATTTTCGAAGGTCCATGTGCGTTGCAGATGCTGATCAGCACACTTGATGGATAGTCTTCCAAGTTGTCCCAAGCACCCCCAGGCCCTTGGCATTTTTGGGCCACAACTCCCCGCCTGCCGGAGGTGCTTGCTATCGTTGGACAATATAAAATATGCGCCAATAAATGTTTATATACAATATGTCAATTAAGTGTATATTCTATATATATATACACATACTAATAACTACAAAGTAAATATGTAATTTAAAAAGATTTTATATATATATTTATATAGATGTATAAACTTTATTGTAAATGAAATTATTATACGAAATAGATGGTATTTTTATGTTTGGTGTTTAATGAAATTGGGATTTTAGTGTGTTTGGAGTTATTGGTATTTGGGTTAAATTACTTGGTTTTGTAGAAAATTATTTAAATGGTATATTAATAGTGGGGGTAGATGATAGATGGCAATATAATTAGAAGTTAGAAGAGTGTTAGGTGAATTATATTGTTTAGATGTTTTTATGGGATGGAGATGAAAATATTAATAAAATATTATTATTTGGATATTTCGATTTATATAAATTAAAGGTAAAATATTATAAAAAATAATTAAATATATTTGATATTTTATTATATATCGCATTTATAATTTGTATTTTGCAAAATATATGGATTGATTTGGATATTTCGATATATATGATATTTTTATTAGATTTGAAGAAATATATATGATATTTGTACTTACGTAATTATATTTTTAACGAAATATTTAATTATATAATATGTTTTATATGTTTAATTAAGGGCCGTTTTTTGTTTAAATTCGAGAATTTGTTTTGTTTTGAATTTTACACGTAGATTTTTATTTATTTCTTTTTTTGATGATTAAATTGTGATTTTTGGTTTTAAATATAGCGAATGTTATTGATGATGTAGTTATAAGTATATGGTTCGAGGGTCGTTTAGAGTTTTTCGGTTTTAAATGAAAATGGATTTATATTGGATGGTTATATATATATCGACGAAGTTTAATGAAATATGGGTAGAAAGAGGTTTCGGTTAGATTATATTCCGGCCGCGCGCTTATAAACGGGTTTGTTTTGAAGCATTGAGATATAATTTTACTTAATATCGTGGCGATTGATATTTCTTGAAGAATGAAAGAAATATTTTAATAATTG